GGAGGACTGCTGACGCATAGTTTTGCAAGATATTCACCATTTGGGGAAACTGAGTAAAGGGTACATGGGTTCCACCTGTTGTTGCTTACAAACGCATGTGAATCTATAATATTCTCAAAATAGAAAGTTTAATTTTAAAAACTATTGACAATATCAGGCCGGGCGCGTGGGCTCAGCCTGTAATCCCAGCACTTTGGGAGGCCGAGGTGGGTGGATCACGAGGTCAGGAGATCGAGACCATCCTGGCTAACATGGTGAAACCCGTCTCTACTAAAAATACAAAAAAAACTAGCCGGGCGTCCGGTGGGCGGCGCCTGTAGTCTCAGCTACTTGGGAGGCTGAGGCGGAGAATGGCGTGAAGCCCGGGAGGCGGAGCTTGCAGTGAGCCCGAAAAAAAAAAAAAAAAAATTGACAATATCAAGTGCTCATGAGGATGTGGAGGAAATGAAATTCTTATGCTTTGCTGGTGGGGATGTAAAATAGTAGCAAAAACCACTCTGGAAAACAGTTTGGTGGTTTCTTATAAAGTTAAACATACACGTACCTTGTGACCAGCAATCCAGCTTCAGCTTAGTAAAATAAAAACTATGTTCACACAAAACCTGTGCATGAATGTTCATAGCAACTTCATTTGTGAGAGACCAAAACTGGAAACACAATCTCTATCCACAAGTGAATGGATTAAAAAAAAGCTATGACATATCCGTATAGTAGAATATTACTAAGCAATAAAAATTAACTATTGATACACACAACAATTTGCATGAATCTCAAAGGCATAATGCATAATGAAAGAAGCCAGCCTTTGAAATTTACATACTGTATGATTCCATTTATATGATGTGCTCAAAAAGACAGAATTATGGTGCTAAAGAACAGATCAATGGTTGCTAAGGGTTATAGATCGGCAGGGGGATGTGACTTTAAAAGCATGGCATGAGAGTTCTGGAGGTGATGGAACTGTTCTGCATCAATTGTGGTGGTGGTTACACAAATCTATATCTGTGTTTGTTTTTTTTTTGTTTTTTGTTTTTGAGATGGAGTCTCGCTCTGTCGCCCAGGCTGGAGTGCAGTGGCACCATCTTGGCTCACTGCAACCTCCACCTCCTGGATTCGAGCAATTATCCTGCCTCAGCCTCCCAAGTAGCTGGGATTACAGGTGCACACCACCATGCCCAGCTAATTTTTGTATATTTAGTAGAGATGAGGTTTTGCTATGTTGCCTAGGCTGGTCTCAAACTCCTGATCTCAATCAATCTGCCTGCCCAGGCCTCCCAAAGTGCTGGGATTACAGGCATAAGCCACCAGTCCCAGCCATGTGTGTTAAAATCAATCTGAGTATACACCAAAAGGGAAAAGAAGCCAATTTTATTATTTGATAATTTAGAAACAAATAAGTAAGTAAAGATTTAAAAAGTCATCTGTTTTCCCCAGTTAACAGTGCTGTACTAGAGTCGGATTTCAGCCACAACTTGTTTATGTTCTTGACCTCTTTTGTGCTATCCACAGCCTGCCTCATCACAAGCTTCAACCCTGCCTGCTGGGCCTCAGAAAAATAGAGAAATGGAGGTGTTTAAAGACTATCTGGGGAACTATAAACTACTGTGAGTAAAGGATTTATAAAACCCATTCTATTTTTTGAGGATGAATTTGATCTTGGGTTAACTTTCTAGCTCTGTTTCCCTGGAAACCTTATAATGGTAGAATGGCAACTGTGTTACCAGGCAGAATTGCTTATGGTAAAAACGAGCCCAAATAGTATATTCCATCTGGACCAAGAAGACTGTGAATGAAAGATATATCCAGTTGGAAGCCCTACCTTTGGGATTCTCTGAGCATAGTGACTCTTACAACTGGACTTGTCCCTTGTGGGACTCTGGAAGCAATATTTATGGAACTGTTACAAGAGTTGTTGATTCCTATTCGGGAAACGAGTTTGTAAAGCCCAGATAAGCTCCCACACCTATCTGTGTGATCTTGTTGTCTTACATCTGAACTGCTACTTGGAAGACCAAAGAGTGGGCACTGGATTGCTTGTCACTTGCTGGAGAGATGCTGGCATGCTATGTTTCCTATCCTTTACCTTTTTCTTCTTTTTTGAGACAGGGTCTTGCTTTGTTGCCCAGGCTGGAGTGCAGTGGTGTGATCACTGCTCACTACAGCCTCGACCTCCTGGGCTCTGGTGATCCTCCCACCTCAGCCTCCAGAGTAACTAAGACTGCAAGCACAAGTCACCAGGCCCTGCTAATTTTTGTATTTTTTTGTAGAGACAGAGTTTCACCATGTTAGCCAGGCTGGTCTGGAACTCCTGAGCTCAAGCAATCTGCCTGCCTTGGCCTCCCAAAGTGCTGGGATTACAGGCATGAGCCACTGTGCCCAGCCTATCCTTCCCCTTTCTAGGTAAAACCAATGCCAAGTGAGATGTATTATAGTCATGAGTATGAAATAACTAGTTAAGGAAAAAAATAACAAAGAGTGGATATTACAAGTACTCTGGAAAGCATTCAGGGGTCTAAACTAAACCAAGTCTTTTGGAATCACCCTGGAGACATTAGAAATCTGGCAGATAAGGGAACAAATGGTAATGCTGTGAATAAAATTCAGTATTTTTTTTCTATTCATCTAGCACAAGTAATTGTTTACCCTGAGCATGTGGACAAGGTCTGATACATTGTCTTTGGATGAACAGGCTTCATATCTTCCTTACCTTGGGGAACTTGCACAAGGCCAACACTTATACCAGCAAGTAAGTCTCCAAGAAGCCAATCTTTTAATCGATACATACACATCCATTCTAGGAAGGGAAAGATTGTAAGCATGCATCGTAGGAACCTGTGCCATGAGCAGCTGTGTGAGAGAAGAGCAGAGACATGGTTAGTTTCTCCAAAGAAAATGCCCGCATAGCCAATAAAAGGCATTTGACCCACATAGCCAAGAAAAAGCAGAGTCTTGTCAGCACTACTGACAGTTTGACATATTGGACCAGATAATTCTTTGTTGTTGGGCTGTCCTGTGTGTTGCAGGATGTTTAGCAGCATCCCTCATCTCTACACATTTGATATCAGTAGAACTCCCTCCTTCAGCTGTGACAGCTAACAACAACAATGTCTCCAGACATCACCACATGTTCCCTGGGAGACTAAATCACCTTAGCTTCAGAACCAAGTACTATGTATATGTCAAGAACTAAGCCATACACATCCAGCATGTAATCAGTTCTGTGTTTTCATAGGATGTTTGGGAAGAATTAAACCTACCAATTTTCTAGTAGAAAAATGGACTGCTGCTGTTTTCTCTTGATAAGGACAGTGTTTTGAGGTGTGACATTGATAGGCGGAAGGGCAGTTAACACATTCATGTCATTCCCAATTAGGAGAGTCCCCAAGTGCGAGGCAGGTGCACAAAGTGTGTTCTTTCTAATTATGACCCTTTGTGGAGAAGAGGAGAGCATGGCACTAAAATTTTTACCAAACATTTACTCTGGCCTTGACCTGTGCCACGTAGAAATTAGTAGAAAATACAGAATATGAAGTCCTGTGCTTAAGGACTTAGTTATGTAAAGAAACAACTTTATAAAATAAGACTTTATTATCCTTTAGCCCAGTAGATCTCAACTAGATGCAGTTTTGTTCCCCTGTGTACATGTGGCAATGTCCAGAGACTTTTTTTTTTTTGAGATGGAGTCTTGCTCTGTCGCCCAGGCTGGAGTGCAGTGGCACAATCTTGGCTCACTGCAGCCTCTGCCTCCCAGGTTCAAGCAATTCTCCTACCTCAGCCTCCTGAGTAGCTGGGATTACAGGCATGTGCTACCATGCCTGGCTATTTTTGTATTTTCAGTAGAAGTGGGGTTTCACCATGTTGGCCAGGCTGGTCTTAAACTCCGGACCTCAGGTGATCTGCTCGCCTCGGCCTCCCAAAGTGCTAAGATTACAGGCATAAGCCACTGTGCCTGGCCCAGAGACATTTTTGACTCTTGCGATTGGCAAGTGGGTAGAGGCTAAACATCACAGAATGCACAGACCAATTCTCCAAAAGAAAGAATTTTCTGGTCCAAAATGTCAATGATCCTGAGATTAAGAAAATCTGCTTTAACTTTCAGATCATCTAAAATGACAGAATCATCATTAATCAACCAGGAAAACCAATTTGGTTTTAAATTGCTTTTTGTTATTTAGATCTTAGCATGGGTTGAAAGCAAAAAGTATGAAGATTTTTTGTGTGTAAACTGAGCTAGATAATTGGGATTTGACTACAACAACAAATATAACTTTAACGTAGTCAGGGCTGAAGTGCGTGCTCAGACAAGTAATTTTACATATGTTTTACTCTCACAACTATGGGCATTACTATTGCTAAGGTAATTAATGCCAAATAAATATGACTTTACCAAGGTCACAGGAATGAGCAGAGATGGGGCTAGAAACAAGGTCCTTGATTTTAGCTCAGTGTTCTAGCCACTCTCCTGCCTCCAACTTTCCTGTTGGCAGCTGTGAAATGCTGCTTGACAGCCATGAGCAAGACCATTGGTTTGGAAGGAACATCACATTGCTGTTCTTAGGAGAGTCCCTGGGTGTGTGGCAGGTGTACAAAGTATGCTCTTTCTAATTATGAGCCTCTGTGGAGGAGAGTAGAGCATGACACTGGAACAGTTTGTTCCTTCACCTCGTTCAGTCTCCCTTCCTCTCTGTGTGTCACTTAGGGAAAGACCAGCCAGCCACCCAAGGCAAAGTCATCAAAGCTCTTCCCCATGGTGAAAAATACAATGGACATGGAGTGATGAGGCTTTAAGAGTGACAGGAACTAAGGAGGGAATTAGAGGAATGGAAGTTGAAGCTGATGGGGAAACAGTATTAGCATTTAGACATGAATCTGGATTTCAGTTAAGACATCTTAAAAGTGAGAAATAGAAGAATCAAAATGAAAGCACAGAGGAGATTTTGATAAGAGGGGGGATTTGCAGTTGTTAAAGAGGAAGAAAATGAGGAAAGATATTAAGAGGTTTTCTGCAGAAAGAAAGAGATGGGGTTAAAATATTTTATTTACATTAAAAAACTCACTTATGGTCAGGCGTGGTGGCTCATGCCTGTAATCCCAGCACTTTGGGAGGCTGAGGTGGGCGGATCACAAGGTCAGTTTGAGACCAGCCTGGCCAATATGGTGAAACCCCATCTCTACTAAAAATATAAAAATTAGCCAGGTTTGTAGTCCCAGCTGCTTGGGAGCCTGAGGCAGAAGAATCACTTGAACCTGGGAGGTGGAGGTTGCAGTGAGCTGAGATAGTGCCACTGCACTCCAGCATGGATGACATGGTAATACTCCATCTCAAAAAAAAAAAAAAGAAAAAAAAGAAGAAAAAAAAACCTCATTTATCTAGTGCTATTTCCTAGTTGCTTTACAAATACTCTTTAAAACCTCATAATCACTTTATAAGGCAGGTACTATTATCATGTTGATCTTACAGAAAAGGAAACTGAGGCACAGCAGGGTTGAATAGCTTACCTAAGGTCACACAGCTGAGAAGCAGCAGGACTAGTATTCAAAATCAGGCAGCCTGGCTTCAGAATTGTGCTTTTTTTTTTTTTTTTTTTTTTTTTTTTAGATGGAGTCTCACTCTGTAGCCCAGGCTGGAGTCCAGTGGCGCAATCTCAGCTCACTGAAACCTCTGCATTCTGGTCTCAATTCTCCTGCCTCAGCCTCCCGAGTAGCTGGGATTACAGGCACACGCCACCATGCCCAGCTAATTTTTGTATTTTTAATAGAGATGGGGTTTCACCATGTTGGCCAGGCTGGTCTTGAACTCCTGACCTCGTGATCTGCCAGCCTCAGCCTCCCAAAGTGCTGGGATTACAAGCATGAGCCACTGTGCCCAGCTAGAACTGTGCTCTTAACTACTGTGCTGTGCTACCTTTCTGGTCAAAATTCAGAAGTGGAGAGAAACGTATGTTTTAGAAGTAGGGAGTAACAGTTGCTAGAAAGCTTATGGGAGGCAGAATGGGTCAGATTTAAGTGTCTGGATGGCAAGTCTAAGAAAGGTAGAAAGGAGTTAGGTTGAAATTTCACTGGGAATAATTTTTTATAATGAGGGTAAAGTTAGGGGAAAAGACCATCATTTTATAGAGACAAAGCCAATGTTGCCCCCAAATACCCTCTTTGGCACATGTCCCCGGATCCATCATGGAGCAGAGGAAGTGAGAGGACTAGAGAGGGATATCCAAGAGCACAACTTACAAAAGGCAGGATGTGGACAAAGGAAAATGTTTCAAGGAAGGGACAGTCTGCATCAGGGCTGTGTAGGGACCTTCCACAATTGTCACCAACATGCCAACATACCAACATGTGCCAATTGTGGGTGATAAACCAGGGGACAAGAAGGACTAGTAAATGTGACGACAACTTGAGTAATGACGATTGCTATAATGATGTAGGTCATGAAGGATTCTTTTTTATTTTTCTTTTTGAGACAAGTCTCACTCTTTTGCCAGGCTGGAGTACAGTGGCATGATCTCAGCTCACTGCAGCCTCTGCCTCCCAGGTTCAAGTGGTTCTCCTGCCTCAGCCTCTCGAGTAGTTGGGACTACAGGCGCATGCCACCAAGCCCAGCTAATTTTTGTATTTTTAGTAGAGACGGGGTTTCACCATGTTGGCCAGGATGGTCTCAAACTCCTGACCTCAGTGATCCACCCGCCTCGGCCTCCCAAAGTGCTGGGATTACAGGTGTGAGCCACTGCACCCGGCCTGGATTCTTAACCTGAGGTTTGTGGACCCCCAAGGGATCTGTAGATAGTATTTGGGGATATATGTGAAGTTACGTAGGAGAACTTACATCTTTACTTCACTAACCTCTTTAGCATTTCCTTCAATTATGAATGTTGGCAACAAACCACAATAGTATCAGCAGAACTTGACTTTGTCACCAGTAGAAATCACAAACATTTCTATATACATTACAATTGCTAAGGAGATTTGAAATATTAGTTACATTCATCACTACTTTGAAATTATGGTAGTTATTAGACCTATATTGCCGGGCGCGGTGGCTCAAGCCTGTAATCCCAGCACTTTGGGAGGCCGAGACGGGCGTATCACGAGGTCAGGAGATCGAGACCATCCTGGCTAACACGGTGAAACCCCGTCTCTACTAAAAAATACAAAAAATTAGCCGGGTGAGTGGAGGCCTGTAGTCACCAGCTACACGAGCTGACGCGGCGGGAGAATGGAGTAAACCGCGGGAGGAGAGACGATGAGATCCGGCCATCATCCC